GCAGAAGGGCACTGTAAGTAGTTCAGAAAGAAGTGAGAACGTGTTCATACATTTATAGAGACTGCCCAGGTGCACAAAGGAACAGACTTTTGCGGCAGCATGTAGAAAATTTGTCTTTGTCTATACAGATGTCAGGATTTTATTGAGAAGCCAAAAGCCAGAAAATGTTTTGTAACATTTGGTACCAAAACTGTTTGGTACCAAAAGCAGCTCTTCACCTTGAGACACCTGATGCTTTGAGATGGCTTCATCAGCAGAAGTGATCCCTGTCCCCATCGAGGGCTTCTGCACAGACAAACACCTCCAGCGCTCACAGGGTGCACTCGAGGCCGTTCAGCCAAGGCTGGATTAAACCCACAGTGTTTTGTAAATCCCCCCTTGTACTCGTGCCATCTCCCACCTCGCCCATACTCAGCCCGGTCAGCGCATGCCAGCACCTTCTGGTTTATGGAAACCGCATTCACCGTCCAAATATTGTGCAGTTCCTCGAGTAACACAGCTCGCAGCGCCCTGATTTATCAACAGTGTTTAGAATAGTATCACAAGCAACGATAGATGAAAAATATGTTTTAAAGGAGAGCTATTTAAACTGTGATAATCTGGGAGAATCTTTGCTAATCTGCTACCTCTCCGAGCAGAAGAATTGCACGCTTCCTGGCTTTCATAGGAAAACAAAAATGAGCACTGGCAGAGCAAGCAAAACCATCTACAAATACAAATCAACCTTTTCTCCTTGTGAGCCGGAGTCGCCCAAGGGATAACTGCGTGATCATGCTTCTGATGTGTTTATACAGCACATTTCATCTTCATTAATCCAGATAACACACTGGCACAGCCTTATTTTTCGAGTCCAAGAGCGACGAGCTGGTCCCCTGCTCTCATGGGTCAGTACCCACTGCTCCCCTCGACTGGGGCTCCTCCTGATTTTGGTGGCCGGTGGCACGTGTGCCCGATGCTGGCCCTTTCCTCCCCAGTCCTGCTGCAGATGTCAGGTGCTGGCACTGCACAGGACCTGCAGTGAGAAGGGCAGCGACTGAAGCACCGTCGGCTCGGATGGATGCTGCTGCGCCCTGCGCACACACGGGGGGACCTCAGCAAAAAAATATTTGTTAGAGGAAGGGAGTGAGATGATGGGATAAAGCTCCCGTATCCGTACTTTCTTTCTTTTTTTTTTAATGAGATGAAATTCTGGTAAATACTCTTAAAGTTCAAGGTTTTTTGTGCTGTTGTGCATGCACAGGATGCACTGCATCTCCCGCGGCTGCCAGGAGGCATTTCTTACGGGCATCCTCAGCGCATTGAGCAAGGGATAAAACCCAAAGCTGTACAGAAACTGACTGCTCTTGAAACACCGTTAAGCTATAATGGGCTGAAAATGTCTTCATTTTTATGTCTCTTCAATATCACAGAAAAGAAGTCGACGCTGATGTAGGTAAGCGTGGGCTATGCATTTATCTAATAATGTATATGGAAGATAGTGAAAATATTTCAGATTTGCCTGCAGTTATAAACCTGTAAATCACACTGAACATCACTGTAGTAAGCCATTTTCTTTTAAGTTTTCTGTATTTTACTGCTTCAATAAAACCCATCACCTATCAACCTAAGAGCTGTAGTTGTATGGCCTATGGCTATTCTCAATTAAAAAAAAAAAAAAAGGAATTTTTTAATTTTAAAATTGTGACACAAACCCACCAGAAGACCAAGGCATATAGCAAAACTAACCAGATCTCATTTCTTCCTTAGGAGCATGGCAGGGAAGGGGGAGGAAAGGGAAAGTCCTGCACTAAAGTCTCAGAAAGTTGCTAAAGTTCCTCTTCTGGCAGTAGGAAGCAGTTGGCAAGGCAGATGCTGATGCATTACATCTTTTCCTACGTGGTTATACACTTCCTTACATCATACACATTATAAGAGGGTTGGAAAACCTTCCCAGGACCCTGAAAAGAAGACCCTACAGCGACAACGTGGTGCTTGCATCCTGCATGGCAAAGAGGTGAAGCAACCCCGGCTAAACCAGCATTTAACAGTTCTGCACACAAATAAATATGTCTGTGTTTTCATGGTTCATTCCACGAATACTCAAGAGGAAGCTGTACAGCACTCGGTGTAAGCTATTCCTCTAATTAATACCTTTGCCAGTATGAAGAAAAACTCGATATTGCAAAAAAAATCTGTAACACGTGGGCAGCTGATCCTTTTAAGAAATATGTAAGAATATAAGACCCTTTTCAAGCAGTGGCACTATTTTCAGAAAGAGTTTTCTTCAGCCCCTCTCTGGTTATAAACCCAAATGGGTCATCTTCCTTAAACTGCTGTCCTCTCTCTGCGAGCAGAAAAAATCTGTGCCAGTTTGTGCCCCTGATGGTTTCATCCTTCAGATGGAGAAAGGAAGGTGGTTCTTCCGCAGACACTTGTTCCAAGTCCTTCACAATGGAGAGAGCACCTACCAGAAGAGCACACAGATCTCAGCCAGTGTCTGGAAATCACTTCCTGAGGTCTCTGAAGCGAGGTGTTTTGATGCTCCTTTCAAGACGCAGACCTTGAAAGAGGAGCATTGAAGCAGATCCCTCTTCAGGCCGTGTTCGAGGTCTAGCCAGTTGACCCCAGTAGGTTTTGGGGCTCCAGCATTAGGTGCAGAGCACACGAAGGACTCCTCCCCGGCACGTGCTCAGATGCAAGTCTTCAGCTGACTCGAGACTGCTGCGCTGCCTCTGTCCCCGTTGGGCAATTCAACAAAAAAACAGTCGATACTTCCCTGCCATCCACATGAGGAGCGCCTGGAGTCAATGGGTTCAGTGTGGGGATCATTCAAACCAGCTGTGGCTAGTGAAAAGAATCCGTTCCTCATTCCTGCGACCAGGCTTGCTAGAAAGTAGGGAGCAAATGTTCCACCCAAAATAGTTTTGGTCTGAGCGCAAGAGAAGCTATTGGCAACGACAACGTTGGAAGAAGGAATGCCGTAGCATCAGGCTCAGATGCCTCGCAAATGTATCTTGTATCCTCTATCCCAAATCGTATTTCTTTCTGTCTGTAGCAGGCAAGATCCTGTAAGCAGGCTCTGGCAGACTGCTCAGCGCCTTTATTTTGGCTAGCAGAGAGCTCCTTTCCATGTGGGGCCTGATCTGGGACGGGAAGCAGATCCACCACGGGGCAGCTCCTCGCCTCTCTGCCCCGCACCCTGCAGGGCTGTGGGTGTCCTCCTGCACCCGGACACGGACACAGCCCCTGCACGATGTCTGTGTGTTACCTGCTGGCTGTGCCCTCCTGCCCGAGCTGCTCTGGGCAATTTTTGTTGCACGCTCCCATCGCTGCTCCTGGGTTCATGGTGAGGATGCTCCGGGGCTGTTGCAGCAAGCGGCACTTTTCTAACGGGGCTGAGAGCTGCTGAAGTGCCCCGTTGGGAAGGGCTGGGTGTCTGCGGGTGATTTGGAGCCTGCAAGGAACACGAACAGCAGAAGGTGCTGGTGGAGCTGCAGAAGTGATGAGCTCCCACGGGGTGAGCGCCCAGGCCTCATCCTCTGCGTTGGCGGGCACGGCGTACTCCTGACGCAGCGCATGTGTTCTGAATTTGGTGTACTTCGGGAACGAAAAGGGGAAAAGAAGCCTATGTGCTTCGCGGGGAAGTATTGAAGGCGCTGAGCTGTGACGCATTACCATGGCTTTGTCTTCAGGACTTGCAGCAAACTCCAGTCCGAGCAGAGCTGCTGGCAGGCACGGGAAGAGGCGCACGGGTTCCTCCTCGCACACCCTGGTGTGGCACAACAACGCCTGGCACCACGTCCCCATCCCATCCACGCAACCATCAGTGCTCCACGAACGAAGGACAAGGCCCAGCAAGGCAAGATAACAACAAAGATTAAAAAAAAAAAAGACTGGCACGTTCATGTCATGATGCAAAGGAAGTGACAAACCCCTGCAAAATGAGCTTCCCATTTTGCCTAATTGTTCTGGGTGTAGCCACGCCAGCGCTGGCTGCTCCTCCGTCTCCAGCCTCTTCTCTGGGCAGGGCGAGCGATTCCCAAACCCCAGCAGCTGGCTGGAGCAACCTCCACCTCCTCCTTCTCGCTGCAGCTTTCCCTCAGAGCGCGATGACTTTTAAATCCTTCCAGGCTCGAAGCCCAGTGAGCAGTAAAGCCCGGCACAAAGTGATATTTATTTCTCGTAACTGTTTTTTTATATATATATATTTTTTTTTTGTATGAATCCAATAGAAGAATAACCTCAGCAGTATTTGCCGTGGCCAGAGGTGGATTTGAGGCTGGTGGGCAGTGGGTGTGCTGCGTGGTGGAGTTAAAGGAGAGCCCTCCCCACCTCCCTTCAGTACGAGGGGACTCGAACAAAATCTTCTGGGGAGCTGGAGGCACCGGTATGGACAGAGGGCTCAACGCAGCAGCCACAGTGGCTGCACAGAGGTTTAGTTAATTAGGAAGTTGGCCGTGCTCGTAAGGAGGAGGAAAACAATGCTACACAGTCAAGGCAAAGAGCAAGTGAAAACCATAGTGCATGAAGCTACGGGGGAAACAGAACCGGCTCTATCAGCTCCGAAACCACCTGTAATTACCGGGCTGAGCATCGGCACGATCCTGCTGCTGAAGCAGAGCAGCACGAGCTCATGAATCAGCCTTGGCCTTCATTAATACATCCTGACAGGCTCCAAACATTCCCCCGGTGGTTTAAGACACTGTAAAAAAAATTGAAGGAGCTGCCGTTTTTTGACCTCGGCGTGTCAGGTAAGGAACTGCTGCCGAGCCCTGGCAAGCTGTCACTCCATCCCAAAAAATCCCCTGTGAACCCGAGTGCTTCCCATCACGGGCTGCACCTCACGGTGTGCTCCGTGCTCTTGGCCAACTCCATGCCCTGCTGGCACGGTGGCACTGGGGCTCTCAGACCCTTCTGCCCTGCTCTGGTGGCTTGCAAACCATGAAGCCAACAGAGGAGGGCTGACCAGGAAGGATTCGTTTTTTTAATCAGCAGAACAAACAGTGAGATCCCGTCTTGAAAGCAGAATGAGCTCTGATAGGAGATGCTTCAGGACTGTGCCCGTCTCTTCAGCCAGCGCAGGGAACATCCCGACACGAGACGGGAAACTCCAAGAGTGGTGGAAATTCAGAGGGCTGGTGCCAAACCAGCGCTCCCGGGGAGGAGGCGGCTGTGCTGTGTCCGCAGAGACACGACCCAGGGAAAGCAGGAGGAGAAAACACTTGGCTGCAGAGGAAAACCAACACGTTGATCCCTCCCCTCAGCACAAGGCTCTGGCCAAGGAGAAGCACGGGCCATGGATGGTTTCCAGGGGTGGGACGGGCTGCTACCTTGTGCGACCGAGCACACTCCGTGATGTGGAGTTAAATCTCAGATCTGGGAATCAATTTTCTTAAGAAACGCTTTTAAATGACTGTTTTTTACAAATTCGAACAGAAAAACTCCTTGCTCAGACCCCAAAGCCTCGGGTCTCGCTCACCAAGCACCGCGCTGCTGCCTGTTGTGTCTGCCAGCCCTGCTGCAGAGGGCTTTGGGTGGACTGGAGTCGGAGATTTCCTGAAACTGTTCAGGCTGGGAGCTGGATGCCAACAAACAAAGCGTGTAACTACATGAACTTGCGAGGAGGAGCTTACCAAAAACTCCAAACACAAACATTTTGTGCATGTTGCCAGCAGTGGTGCTCGCAAGCATGGAATACTTTCTTAGAAACCGTCTACCTTTAGGGCACCATCTGTCCAGCTGCAGTATTTTGGTTGGCTTGTTGTTGCTAATTCTGGTATTTGCCCTTTTCTTCTGCTCTCCTCCCTCCCTCCTTCCTCTCCCCCTTCTCCAGATGTGCTTGCAGTGGAGGAGAGCTGCTCCCTGTGCTGCTGCAGGGCAGTTTCCAGCCTGGCCTGTGCTCAGCGGTGCTCGCAGCCCGGCGGGGCCATCCAGCATTTCTTAGCACGGACTTTGTGTTCAGCGCCGCGGTGCTTTGGCTTGGTGCCTTGTAAACAGATTAGACAAATAAATAGGTAAGAGGCACGTTAACGTCGTGTGCCCAATAATTTCCCGGAGTGGGATTAAATGAAATCGGAGATTCCCCAGGAAGCATGCCCCGCTATGCAGAGCGCTCTCCCCGTTACGGGGGCATCGCGGCGGGGAATTACGCACTCCTGGCATCAGATGTAGGCAACCCAGGACCAAACCACAACCTACGGACAGCAAGACAGCAATCGCACTGCTGCTTATCTTCCCGAGTCCAGCTGCTGCTCCGGAGCCCGAGGTCCCTGGGAGGAGCACGGGAGGCTTTTCGGAAGGAGTCCCAGCCTCGCTCTTCCTTGCTGGCACCCGACGCCTCTTCCTTCCTGCAGCAAAAGCAGCTGGTTCCCCGGGGAGGACGGGGGAGCATCTCCTCTGGCTCCCGCTGCAGGGCTCTGCAGCTTCCCGTGCCGTAACCGGCTGTGTAACACCAAGCTGCTCTGAGCAGCAACCTCCCGAGCACCGAGCCTCGCCGGAGCCAATGTTGTCTCTCCCAGTCCTTCTGTGAGATCTGCTTCCCATATGGCCCCGCCGCCTCGCCTGCCTCCCCGACTGCGAAAGACCAGTCTCCTCGCTGCTGATCCTACCCCTCTCTCCTGCCTGCTGGCATCACGGGCTGCCACCAAGGACAGGCGAGCGGCCCCACCTCTGCACCGGTGGCACGTGGTGGGACTTTCCCTTTGCAGTTCCCAGGACAGAGCCCGTCTACTAACACGAAACTGACTGCCAAGAGAGAAAAGCCCTTCTTCAGAACAAGCACAAGCTCAAGTCGTATTTATCGCAGACTTCCCAAATTCCCTCTTTTCCTTGTACCGCCTCAGGACAACAAGGCAGTCAAACGGATCTGCTCCGGATCCATCTGCACCTCCCACAGCTGCAAATCCCTCCGAAGAAGCTTTTTGCTCCACGAGGCACCACCAGTCTGTGACCCTGAGCACCACCTTCCCTCTGACAAATACCTCTGTTTACAGCCTGGAATTTTGTAATATTGAGCCACGGGAAATTCATCATCTCCACACACTCTCGCCATGCCAATATTGTATGAATGCCATTTCTCTTTCTCCTCCTCAGCTGCTACCATGATTCATGCTGCCGTTAGCTTTCCGCAAGCGACCTGCTTTGGTTTATTGTAGCTCACGTTGTCATTTGTCTTAAAATCAACCCAAAACATAGCCAGGCAGATAAGCCTCTTCTGATGTCTTCTGCCACTTCTGGGGAAGCATGCACGGCAACCCAGTCGCTCTTCATGGTTAAGAAGCCCCATTAGATTACCCATTATTTTTGTACAGCACAGTCTAGAGCAGAGCACGGTGGGCACACATCTAGGAATCATTTTCACCTTGTAAGTTAATTTATTTATTTTTTTCCTTGAGAGCAGCGCAGTGAACTGGGCAGGCTGGCTTAGCACTTCATTCACAGGAGCGGAGCCCAGTCTGGCACACCTGGCTTTGAGGTCGAGTAAAAACCAAAACGTGGTAAGCAGGGCAAGCAGCCTGACCGTAACGAGAACAGGAATGGCAGGATTTCATGCAAAACTGAAATATCAGAAGCAAAGAAGGGGGAAACATCCCATCACGTGCACCACGAGCGCACCTCCCAGTGGCAAGCAGCCCAACCTGAACAATAGCTCTCGGCGCACGGCCAGCACCACCCGGCCCAGCCAGGCTGACCACGCAAAGGGAGATGAAAGGTGAGCAGAACAGTCCCTGGGCTTCAATAATTCAAACGCATTTAATTTTCTAGTGGTAAGAAGGGTGGAGGGTTTTTTTTTTCCAAAGCACGGCCTGCATGGAGCTAGCATCTCTATAAGGGATGGGCCAGCGGGTGGTGGGAGCACCAGGGCAAGCGGGGCCAGGAGCTGGCCGTGCGTGTCTGCAGGAGGTGGTGGGGTGGTAGAGGGAAGCTGGGGACGTGCTGCCACCCTGCAGGAGTTGTTTTAAGCTTGTGGAACCACACGGCTCTGGGGGAGGCTGCGTGTCACCCCACCAAACCATGGGCATCGTGCTGGGCAAACCTACTGGTACCAAACTCAACACGCAATCCGTAGAAATCGAGATGGAGACAGGAATCCTCCGTCCAGGACCACTGTGCAGCCCTCGATATTGCTGGTGTTTATTTCACACGTCGGCCCTGCTGCAGAAATTTTCAGTCGCAAACTTCCCAGGGTTAGGTGGGACTCCTTTTCATGTGCTGCTTCAGACCGTAACAGTGCCCGTGCTAATAACCTAACTCCTTAATGTACAGAGGGGAAAACAGCACTTCATGAAATATTGATACGCACTTGGAAATTTGACAATTATCTCCAGAGCTCCTCGGTAAAATCTGAAAGTAAATAAATAGCAAACATTTCCTGTACTCATTAAAATACTGAAAAACAGAGAAAGAAACCTACTCATTATCCATTTGACAAATATAACCTATTATTTTTAATAATGCACGGGCATTCAATGCACAAAATTTACAGCTTCTCTTGCTTAAAGAAACCATTGGTTTTGTAGACCTAATTTTAAGAAATGCAATAAAAGTAACTTATGTGGAGCTGATTGCTTTTGTAGGAGAGGGCAAAATCTTTCTTCTGTGGCAATCAATGGCAAAACTGCCATTTGTTCCGATGGAAGTACAACTTCACTCCCTGCCCTGGTTTGGAAAATGCTTTTCTGGAAAGAAATTCTCAAAAAAAAATAGGGAAATGTTAGAACAAGCTCCATTGCTTCTCTCTGAGTGACATTTCCATTCCTGCTTTTTTTTCTCACTCTGTTGCTGATAGCCAGGAACCCCAAAAAGAGCTCAGACTGTCACGAGAACAGGCTGATAATCCATCCCGTCAGCAAGAGGAGTGTGTAGGAGGCAGCTTGAAACTGCCCAGGGATTTGCAGCCTTAGAACTGAGCGTCAGCAAAGGTGCTGGGCTTAAGATGACCAGCAAGGATGTCAAGGGTGCACCAGCAGCCCACAGCCCTGCAGCCCCTGGGCACCACCTCCACGCCATCCCAAATATTTCAACGGCACCTCTTTTTATTTTCTTCTCTCTGACTTTTTTCTTTGTACGCATATCCTGAATTATTACTGATGATAGCGTGTGCTGTCTGAGCAAAGTCCCTTCTGTTTATTTACTCGCCGAGCCAGTACGTCAACCTCGCAAATAACAAACTGCTCGATAACCAAACCGAAGCACGCCTGGCGCACGCTTCTGTCTGCACACAAGTGCTGACCCAAATGGGTAGTGACTAATATATTGATTTTATTTTTGACAGTTTTTCCTCCCATTTTCATTTGTGTATGTATCTGCGTACATAAATAAAGCATAGAATGAGTTCTTGGCTGTTTCTGTCAGGATTTACCGAGGATCTTCACCAGCTCCAAGCGTTCAGGTAAGCCCTACTGGTTTCCTTCTAACAGCGACAACAACCTGCTTATCTCTTAGGTTATAGAGCCTAAACCACCCTCCTTTGGGGGGACTATGGCACTTTTGGGAGCTGTGAGAAGACCTTTAATCACATACTTCTCCCAGCTGCTCCTTGGCTGCCTCTGCCCTCCTATTTTCCCTCGGCCACCCCACGTTTGGGGTTGGGTTGAAGTCTTCCAGCCTGGCCCCGATGCCCTGGGGAATTGGGGTGCAGCAGCCCCAGGCAGGCAGGGCTTTGGACGTGCCATGGGAGCCGCAGTTTAAGCCGATTGTTGGCCTCGACACCCCTCGTGTTGGGGGAGAGGGCGGAGGGAGGCAAGCCGGGCCCTAATCCGCTCCATCTGCTCTGCAGCAGCTAATTGGATTGGGAGTGCAGAAGGCAAGGCCCCCGGACACAGCCCTGGAGGTTGTGCTGGCCAGGCAGAGCTGCTCACAAACCTCCAGTTTGGTTGGATAAAGCTGCTCCAGTGCAAGGGGTGAGGGTCCTGCCTCGCTTCCAGGGCACTCCTCTTTCCAAGCCCTTCCCAGGGATGCGCGCGGCTGTCGTGAGGCTCAGTTTCGGCTGCCCAGTTTCACCCGAGAGGTGAAACTAACTGCTGCGTCGGGAAAACAACACGGGGAAGGGGCAGCAAGCAGCATTTCACCTCCACGAAGCACTGGGAACAGCAGACAAGAGATTATAAACTAGCTTTCTTTACCAAAAGCCACTGGAACGCTGCTAACGTCAGGTTTTATTTAGGTGCAGGAGTCAAAGGCTCGTCTGCCAGATGCTATATATAAAGCTCACTAATCTATGTCCTACGTCTGCAACATTTATTCTAAATCAGTGACTTAATGATTTTGGTCTTCTGCTTTTTAAGGATCCAGCTCCGCACCCACTTTCGCTTTTAAAAATATCAGAGAGCTCAGCTCTGCAGCATTTTCATTAAGCTGGTCCGCAGCGTAATGCTGCGAGGAGGACAAGCAGAAGGAATATAAAAAAAATGTTTAATACAATAATGATCAGAAACCTTTAAATTTTTTTTTCCCTCTGTGAACACTAAGTTTGTAGCTATGGAAACTACTTATGAGAAAGCTAAAAAAAAAAAAAAGCCAGCAAATATAGTCCAAGAATGATTGGATGTATGAAAGTCCTAACGGTGACAGAGAACTCCAGGCACAGGGTGAAAGGGAAGTGTAAATTGAAGATGACAACACTTGTGTGTCTGACAACATGTTCTCCTCTGTCAGGCCAAATTCATTGTTATTGCCATGGAGCCAAAGTCAACGAATTGTACCTGGAATGAGTCTGACGCTTTTATATCGCTTTTGATAAAGCCATTACAAAAAGCACATTTCAGCCTTTGGAAAAAATATTTTAAAAGTGCGTTTTCTGCAAGCAGTGAATCGTGTGTGCAGGTTGGCCAAGACAGCCAATGTTTTATCAAGGTGGTTTCCAGCACCTCTCTCACACACTGTTCTTCAGCTCTTCGCCCTTCTAACAAGAGCAGCTCTGGTAATTTGGATGTGAAGACCCACACGCGACACACATCTGCAGGCTCATCTGCCAGAAGGAGGCTGCTGAGGGTCTGTACGTGCACATTACACCGAGCCAGGTCTGTGTGAGCCTTTCTAAGGCTGTCCCGAACTCAGTGCGAGTTATTTCCACCTAGTGCCCGTATCACGCTGCAGATCAATGTCTCTCGAACGACGCGGTGACTGTCAGGACGGCAGACACTAGCAAGACACGTCTGCTTACTTCAATTCAATATTTTCACGTGGAAGTTACAACCCCAGTTAAAACAATTAGCCCGGGGTTTTGCCAGTGCACGCCATGCAGACACACTTCACCTGGAGTAAGGCGCTAGCTGGGAATGGCTCCAAGGACTTGCTATGGTCTGTCAGGTCAATGTGCAAATTAAATCAGATTTATTCAGTACATGGAGCTCGCTTTGGTGCTGTTTCAGCCTGCATTGTTAATTGGGCTGCTTTACATGTATACATTGTGATTACATGCTACAGTCCTGTATGAAAGACGTAGGGAAGGAAACCTGCAGCTGATTTCTGAACTGCCCGCTGTACGGTACATTGGGCAGGGAATAAACCAACATCAACAAATGCTCATGGAATTTACATTGTGTATGAAATATCGCTGCTACACTCTGCCCATAAAAACCTATTACAATTTCAACATGTTACTCGAAAGAATGGGCGAATTTAGCTCTTTTAACCTCCCTTGAACAACTGTCAGGACTCGTGCCCCTGCCTGTGCCCTCTCTGCTTTGGGGGTTGCCCAAAAGAAAGCTTCAGCCTGCAAGTGATGCGTGGTTAACCCAATTTTTGTCTGTCACAGGGTGGAAAATGCCAATAAAAGAATCACCGTCAAGTGTTAAACAGTATAAGCAGAGCTAAGCTAATCACGGCGAAAGGCATTTCTCGCTGGGCTCTAAGCTGATAAAACAGGAGCTGAGTCCCCTTCACACCGGGGAGAATTACTTCTGCAGGGAAGGCGGCTACCTGCAGCCTGACTTTCCCTGTGCAGGAAAAGGGCAGGATTTTAACCAAATCTCACCTGGCTTGGCAGCCAAGCAGCCTCGCTTGGCTACTCCCTGACTTGATGGGGCCGCCCCGCTCCTCAGCCCTGTGCAGACACAGGCAGCATCCCTGCTCCATCAGCATTTGCCTTTGCGTCTTATTATGTAAAGCAGAGTTTGAACAGCCATTAAAAGACGCACGTTTGCATTAAATGATGGCTCCTTGCTGGAGCTCCCTAGCTCCAACACCAGGAACACAAATCGGACAGGCTCCTCCTGAGGGAGAAGTGCAGGCTAGCTACGAAAGTACAGGACTTCTCATCAGCTAACTGCTTTAAGACTGAAAAATTGGGCACAAAAATATAAATTGAGTAATACAGTCAGAATACTAGCAAACACACTACGTGGAAAATGCAACATTTTGGAGACATGGCTCAAGCAGTCTGAGCAGTGACCATTTAACAGTTTGCACTCACCATCTCAGCTGGCCTGCAGGATTTATGGCCCTGCATTACCACCTACTCCAGCAGGAGACTGGCCACGAGCCCGCCCTGGCAGCAGCCCGCCGGCTGACACGGTTTTGTCACTCCGGCTTGGCAGCAGGGTCTTTTCCTGCTCGCCCCCGAGCTGACTCGGTGCGATCGCTCCCTGCATGGCACGGCTGCAGGAGCAGCGGGCTGCGAGGGCGTTTCTCCCCCCCCAGGAGCCATTCCCCACGGCTCCACACACAAAATCTGGACGACACGAGGAGCAGCAGGTATTTCAGCACTAGGTCCCTGTGGCTGATTTTCTCCTTACCTCCCCAAACCAGCACGAGGGGCCTGTGCCCAGGCTGCGGTCCCTGCCCTCGGATGCTCGGGGCAGCAGGAGCCGTGTCCCTGCCCCACGTCCTCTGCCCAGCCCCAAGGTAAGCAGCAGCTGTGCACAATCCACACCGAGCGCCTCGGCACAAAAAATCACAAAGTGGGTGTCTAGAAACACTCATTTTAAAAGACTACTACACATAGCCCAACAAGACTTTAAAAAACAAAAAACCAAAACCCCACAAAATGGTCTATTTTAATCTCCTGCTCATATACCAAGCTTCAAAACATCGGTGGACTACAACAGACATTTTACAAGCCTCTGCTGAGCGAGCAGACATCAACCTACACCGACAGAAAATATCTGCAGCCATTTAGAGACAGAGTTTAACACTGAGCTTGCTTTCACCTCGTGACTCACGTATCCACTGCAAAGGGCACAGCCTGGCTCCTAAAAACGCATCTTTTCTCCTCCCGCTGGTGAACGCGATTTTCCTGGATTGAGTCAAGTTCCTGCCATCCGCTCAATGTTTTACAAACACGCTGGCGTATTTGGCGTGCTGGTTTATCACCTCGCGGGTAAGTGTGAACACTCCTTAGCAGTGGTGTTCCTTAAAGAGTAATTCCTCAACACAGCTCCAACACCTAGAAACCGCCACGCCTTCCGCTCCTGAGCACAGCCCTTCGTCTGCAGCGGCTCTTACCTTGGCTTCTACTTCTAAAACACACTTTAACGGGAAGAAAACCTCTCGGGCTTATTTGGAAAATAAAAAGGGGAAATAAATAAAAATGAAGACAATTTTACAGGTCCTACTTCAGCTAAACCTTTCAGGGACTTCAATGAGAAGATAATCTTTCTGTGATTATGGCCAAACCCTCTCGTTGCTTAGCAACACATAATTAAGGAATATGTTTTCAGATCCGCTTTGCAAGCTGGCCATTATCAGATGAAATTACTGGAGCAACAAATGTCATCCTCATGCAAATGAGTTGGTTGTAGGGGGAAAAAAAAAAAAAAGAGGCTGGAGTAGTGAGAAAGAGCTCGGCAGCACAGAAACGCTGCCGGCTTCCTCTTGTTGCGCACCGGCACTTCTTTCCCAGAAAAATGCCCAATATCGAGGTTTTTAAGACAATAAGGTTTGCGTTTCCCTACGAGGCAAACGGCAGAGGGGTCTGATCGCCCGACCCGAGGAGGCTGCTCCCCAGCCGTGCCTCGTGCCAGGGCGGCACCGGCCACAAACACAACCAGCCTCTGTGCTCCCCACGTTACGCCACGCCGTCTTTTTTTTATTTATTTTCAGGCTTTGGGAAATTGTTTGTTTAAAAATACTGCCTGGCTGTACCACTTCTGCCCGTGATCCACGTCAACACAAAGCGCGCTGCCTAATATTTAAGTGTTTTTTTTGTTTTTTTTATAAATCAGCGCGCTGTGCCAGCTGCATAAAGGATGCATAAGCATGAAAGGAGCGGCACCCACCTTCTAGCTGCGTAATTATGGTGAGCCGGGGAAAGGGGTGCGCCAAACGTCTGCATTTTGACAACTTTATCATTTCCACTCACAAAATCGTTCTTTATTTAGATTCCTGTGGAA